GGGGGGATAAAGCCCCCAGAGCTGGGGCGGGGGGGAATCGAAGTGCAGCCAAAAGAGCAGGACAAGGTCCAGAAGACATTTGGGGCAGAAATAGGATCCTTGGGACGTCGGGGAGCTTATTCCCAGGGATAAAATGAGGGTGGAAAGGAGCCCCTTGCACCACAGAGCGTGGGTGCCTGCAGCCTCTCATTTAAACGACCGGGTCTGCAGTGATCCACATTCAGAATTTAAGGCAAGAGGATTCTTGGCTTGGTAAATTAAAAAAAAAAAAATTAAATAAGGCAAGGAGTCCTTGGGCTCATTCAGAATTTAAGGCAAGAGGATTCTTGGCTTGGTAAATTAAAAAAAAAAAGTTAAATAAGGTCAAGGAGTCCTTGGGCTGCACAGACATCCCTCCCTGGGGCTGCAGGGTTCCACAAACCAGGGATTTTTTGTGTTTAATTGCAAGGGAGGCAGCTCAGGGGTAAGAGGGGAGGCACCTTCCTTCCAAAACTGGAAAAATAAAGCCCTGAAATGACACCCCGGCCACAGCGACGTGGAGGTTTCCACCAAATTTGGAAATTGTGGTCACTATTTTTTTTTTTTTAAAGGTATCTACCTTACGGAGCAGGAATCCCGTGCTGAAAGCCACCGCCGTCGGGAGGAGGGATGGCAGCGCCGCGAAGGGGATAGTCCCATGGGGTGAACTGAGGCACCTCAAGTCTTGCCATGTCAAATATCCTGCTTAAAAAGAACCAAACCCACAACCCCTTGAGTCAGAGGATAAGGGTGAACCATGGCCAGAAGGACCTCTGGCTACACCAACTCTTCAGGTACCGTAACAGGACATTAAGGAATGGCTAAAATGAGTATTTTTCCCTTGCCCTGGTTGCTGCTGCATCTCCAAGGAGGTCACCTCCAGCTGGTCCTCAGAGGCCGTAGCGGTGCAAAAGGCTTGTTCACCCTTCGCTGGTGGTCCAAGTGCCTGCATCCAGGTTGGTCCAAGTGCCTGCATCCAGGTTGGTCCAGGGCTGCTGCCATCTCGCCAAGACCAACCCCACGGGGACGCGGCCAAGGCGCAGGCCACAGGACCTCCAAATCCACCCAGGCTCCCTGCAGGCTTGCGAAAGTGAGTCGCTACAAGCCCCAACTCCCATGTTGGGGAAAGTCTTCCCTTAATTATTTTACCCTGGTCTTTAATTGTTCTTGCTGTCCAAGACCAGGTGGGCCGTGCCCAGAGAGGGACGGGACAGAGCAACTCCTGTGCGGAAGGGAGATGGACATTGACACTCACACCACGTCCACAGGACGGTGCAAGTTCACAAATGAAGGCACCAAGCAGCTCACTTTTACCCTGAAGCTCCTGTAAGCACCACTTGATTGCTCTCCTATGTGGTAAATTATTTTTCTTGTAATTAGCTGCCTTGAAGGCCACTTACAGCCTATCACCAGCATCTCCATACAACAGGGCACTTACAGCAAGCTGGAGACGCACGTGAATAACGGCGATGCATCCTCGTTCACAATATTAATTCCCACAAATTGATTGTTCTGCCAGCATCTTACAGCTTTCTAATTAAGTCTTTACTCAGATGCTCATGTGTGCGAAGGAAACAAATGCTAATAAATTCCAGAAGCAGCAGTTATGGGACCGGGGTTGATGGAGCTCACGGGTGGGGGAAGAGCAGGTCAGTTGGGCACCACCACCGTGCCACGCGCTTTCTGTCTCCATCCATCAGGCAATTGCACAGGGTTGGCTTAAACCAGGCAGGAAAAATGGACCAGAAATGTCACCTTCTACAGCTCCAGCAGGAAGTCTCACTGCCTTTGGGGACAGGAGAGTGGAACCCGGCGCTACCCAACTCTGAAGAGCATCCAGCGACAAATTCCTGTCTGGTCCCTTCATCAGATAAAGCCTCCGGCATCCTCCATGAGACACCTTTGCCTCCCCAGCTCCTTAACCCACCTACAGCCATCCCAGGCTCGGGAACCTTCGCTCAGGGCTGGCTTTCTAGGAGCTGTTTCTCCACCAAGCCCTTCCTCTCAGCCCTGCTATCGAGTGTTTTCCCTGGTAAATAGAGGGGAAAAAAAATAAAAGATTGGCTTGGAATTAATTTATTAGACAATTAATAGTGTGTTAAATTATAATACTAAAGTCCACAGATGTGCTGGCTACCACGAGGGAAGCCAACAGTGCTGTAGGCAGCAGTAGCTGATGTGCAGCCCCTCCCCGGCTGGGAAGGGGGTTTGGCAGGAGGAGAGGACAGCCCAGAGCACAACAGCTCCCAGCACAAGTCTTTCCTGCGGAAGATTGGATCCAGCAGGGCTCGGAGCCCGAAACCCAGCCAGATTTCCTCACCTGGATGCTGAAGCCCTTAGAGGGGAGAGGAGAAGTCCTGTGCTGCTGGTTACCTCCTTAGAGCCTGCACCAGAGGAGGTCACAAGTCCACAGCTTGAATTAAGAAGAACAAATAAACAAGCCAAGCTTTGTGGTTAAGCTCCTCAGGGGTCTGGAAGGGGTGCTGGTGTTGAAGGTGCTCACGGGACTGGACTTTCACAGCTGGAGGAGCTTGCAGGGGACATGCGACACCCCGAGGAGCACAGCAGATGAGTGAGGAGCCTCAAGACAGATGGTTGAGGGGACCACGCACATGGGTCTGCCTGTAAAGATGACCTCCAGCGCCCACCCAGGGGACAGGGCTGGATCTCTGCGCCCTCGGGAGAGGCACCAACAGCCTTTTGGAAGCTTAGCATCAAAGCCTGGCCACACACTTGGCTCAGCCTCACACTGCTTGTCACCCTGTCAAGGTAAAAATTAAGAAAAAAGGGGTTTTAGTCTGCTGCAGCTCCTTCAGGAAGCAGCTTGTGCATTAAACGTGAAGGCTGACAGCCTGATCTGGGAAGATTTCAGCCCCAAAACCACCAACCTTACATGGCTGCTTCATTTTTCCACCTGATTATTTCAGCTCAGCTGCTTAATTCTTTGGAAACAGAAGCAGGAGGCATTTGCCCTGAGCACATCACCCCTGGGCTTCCAACCCGAGCTTGCCCGGGGAGGGGGTTCTTGCTCCACACCCCACAGAGTCCACAGGGAACGAGCGCCAGGCTCATCTCTCAGCCTTCGGGAAAGCTCGCTTGCGCTCAGGCTGTACTGGAGCATGTCGTAAGGAGAATCAGCATCACTAGATCGCAGCCCAAGAGCTTCAGGGCTGAAGTGCTGCTTCCAGCCTCCGAGCTGCCAGATGTAGGTAATGCCTTCAACAGCAGCAGCCTCTCCAGGCGCTAGCAAAGGACCAAACATCTGAGAACCGGGGCTGCTGGCATTGCCCCGAGTCAGCCTTGCTGCTCTGCCCCTTTTCACTCCCTATCCAGGGCCAAGAGCAGTTTCCTCAGCTCAAAAAAAGGCTGTCAGAAGGTCCTTGACCATTTGCATCAAGTCTTTGCCTTCTTCCAGGGTACAGAACGCAAGAACATGAAGCACAAGGTCATTAAGACCAGAAGGATGGAGGGGAAGAGTTCAACAGGCTTGGGGGATTCTCCCTGAAAAGCACACAAGGGTCACCGGCACCAACCAAGGCACAGTCACGCTTCAAGGAACCTGGCCCCGTCGCTGTGCTCACCCAGGAGCACAGGGTCCTGCGCTATGGGAAATAATTTGTTCACCTGATACAACGTAGATGATCTTTATACCAGGTAGCATCTCAAAGCACGTGGCCCTCCAGCCATGGGATATGAAAATCCTGCAGCCTCCAGGTCGGCCTGGAGGTGACCACTGCTCCCAGGATGTCCCCTGGGACACAGGACTGCAAGCGGCACAGAGCCCAGGGTAAGCAAACCGCTTTTGAGAAATATTTGCATTACTCCAACTCCTGAGAAGTACAACTGGTGTTAAACTCGCCACATCAGGAGCTGAGACACCGAGAGCTCATAGCCAGCTTGAATTCCACCATGCAGAAGACCTCTCAAGCCTTCAGCAGCCTAAGCCAAGAGGTCAGGACAAGCCAGGGAGCAAGGGGAGCTATTAAAAACATAGCTTTAAGGCCTGTCTAGTGCCTATGGACACAACTTAAGTGTGATGAGGACTCCTGTGCCCTATAGCACAGCTCCTCCAGCACACCAAGGCTGCTGCAAGGGGAAATGATGACAATCTAGGTCTTACCTCCAGACCTACTGATTAAAGGTTCCCCCTACCCTATATATTTCAAAAAAGACCTGTTTAGAGGGGATGGGCCAGTAGCTTTCCCCAAAGTCACCAGTTTCGCCTCCCCATCCAGCCATTGCTCCCTGCTCTCCATACAGCTGAGGCCATAGCACCTAGAACCAACACCCACCATTCATCCCTTGTCCACATCCAACACCAAAGTTTTCCCCAGTTCTCCCAGCAGCAGAAGCCACACTCAGCCCCAGCACCCACAAAAATGCCAGAGTTTGAGCTGCTGTTGTGTCCTTCAAGAGGACTCCTCACCCAAGCTGCATCAACTCCCACCAACAAGCCCAAGACAGAGCTGCTGTTACCACGTCCTCCAGTATCATCCCTGCCAAGGAGGAGCAAACAGGACTTCTGGAGTCAGGAATCCATTCAGCATCTGTCAGAAGCATCAATTCTTCCCTCATTTGCCTATGAAAATAGGAGCCATACCTCATCTGCAAACAGTGTGTAGGAGTCCTTGCCATCAGGCACAGCCCTGCGTGCCAAGTATACAAGGGAGCCTCAGCAGCAGCACCGGGCATTTGGAAAGTCCTCCTGCAGAGAGAGACACTTTCTATCTCCAACTGCTGTGGTTTGGGAGGTGCTTTCAGCTGGCAACAGCTCCCCATGTTTTTGATCCCACCACTGGTTCACTGGTGGCTTCCCAAGAGCTTGTGGCCACCCCAAGGTGGTACGGTAGGACGGTACATGAACACAGCCCTGACCCCCATCCCATGGGAGCAGACCAGGGCAAAGGCTGACTGCCATCCCTCCTCCCCACCGAGGACACAAGGAGAGGACAGAAGCATTTCTCTTTATTAAGGTTGGGGAGTTACAGTGACACCCCAGGAGAGCAGCTACATTTTCTGCACACAAGAAACAGTCCCAGAGCAGTTAAGCTCAGCACAGTGGCTGCTGTCAGCATGGCAACTTGGACCGGCATAGGAAGTCCTCCAGCAGCACCTGGAAGAGACAAGATCCGGTTACGACACATGTAATGGCTTTCCACCGTCCATCAGCAGATGAACTTGCAGGCAGCTTTGGGAAGAAGTCCCCCAGACTGTCTTTTGAAATCGCCATCCAGGTGTAAAATCATGGGGGATTCATGATCAGATCAACCTGGAATCACCTTCAGTCAAGACCTGAAGGCAAAGTCACAGAAAGCACACACATACCATGTAGTGTCTTCCCCGCTGGTGCGAGACCTCCCGAGGAACTCCATAATCCCTGAGCCGGATCAAGGATTAATAGTGGTCCAACTGACACTTCAGCCTCTGCTGCCTTTGAAGAACCATCTAAGAAGAGATGGACAGGAATGAGTTCAGAGGGGAGGCAATTCCTGCTTAGTCTGGATTTCAGGGCTTACTGAGAAGTGGACCCTGCAAGAGCAGACACAGTTACTTGCGCAAGGACCTTGGCAAAGAGCTAGGTTTGGCCTTAAGATGAGCTGCATTTGCTAAAGACTTCCAGCATCTTGGCCATCCCAACCTGGAGGGTCACCCTGCCTTGGGGGTACATTTGGGACACAGCCCTACCTTGCTTGGAAGAGATGTCTCTCTTCAAGCGCCTCCTTGGCCATCTGGCCGGAGGGTTAATTCTCCGGGAGTATCCTCCATACGATGGACAGTTGCCGGTCTCACAGCAGCTGCAGATGTCTCCAGTACCCTCCACCGGAGCCCAACTGAAACAGAATTACCTGTAAGGCTTCTTCTCTGGGCTGGTCCCCTCCCTA